GACTCATACACACACAGACATAGATACACACACAGAGACCCACACACCGCCTCAACTCACTCGACTTAACACTTCACACTGAACACTTAACAGATAACTCACACTCTGACTTCCTACGTGATGAAACATGCTTTCGGGCCACTCGTCGTCTAGTTAAAGAAGGGCTCAGAACATCCGAGACAATTTCTGAGCTATTCGACTGAAAGAATAGGTTTGTTGAAAAAGGTTGAGATTATCCTAAGCGGGTGGTATAATTGAGCCACACCTCACAAAGTGACAAACAAAGTACCACAGCTCACAATAGTTTGAGGGCAACATCTGTGGCTGGTGCGAGTTGGTGGCTTCCAGATGCGCTTGACCCAACTCCTAGGGTGCCTCAAGCTTTCACTGAAGTCATCGCTGGCGTCTGCTTGTCCCCGAATGGCAGTTGTGAGACGCAGGTTGTTGCCGGGACAGCTACGGATGTTGCAAGTGCAGCATTTGATTTGACTTTAATTGAGTGCAATTCCCATCTGATGGATTAAAGGGGTAAGGGATCAAGCAACACCGCAAGGGCTGGGAAGCAAGACTGTCCACCGTTAGGTGGCTGAGGTCGAGGATGATATACAAGCAAGTATATAATATAGCTCATGGCTTGTCAAAAGTAGGGATATTCAGCAAAGAGGCAAGTTAAGCCGCCAAGTGGCTGAAGAACACACACACACTTACAGGACTTTCAGGATAAAGCTCGGCCAAAAGACAAACGCGTGAAGGAAGCGTGCTGAAGTCTTGAGGACGGGGATTCAGCAAAGCAGTCTAAGCATAGGGTGAAGAAAGAATATGGCCGTCAAGAAAGTGCAGTGAAATATGACATATGAAGAACACCCGAACAGAAACAAGAGAAACCACAGAAAGAAAGGTCCGAAGGTCTAGAGTCTAAAGCAAGAGAACAGGATATAAAAGGAATTGAACTGATAAACAAATGAAACAAACCCATCAAGCAAAAAAAGGCTCCGCACTGCCAACTGCCATGAAGTCTGAAGAGTTGAAGTAGTTGAGGGCAGAAAAGAACAAGGATGACAAAGACAAGGAAAGAACAACACAAAAAAACAGCGTGAAGGAAAAACAAATAAATACAAATAATAACAAAGGAAGAGAGATAAAGGGAGCACAGTAACCTGTCCAGGTGGCCAGTTTGACCCGGAATTTCCGGAGCTACTCTACTCCATCCAGTGCAAAGGGATATTCGCACCATAACTACTCTTTATATATATATATATACACATATAACTGTAACTTGTTTGACGAGCAGGGTTCCTGGTCCCTTATATACTTGGAGGCAGGGATACGTCTTCACTTCAGTCTCATTTGAACTGAACATGTTTGGTCAAGGTTGCAAGCAAGTTGCGTAAGGATGTAGCCTGGCCGTGACGCTGAACACTTGTATCAAGACTCCTTTATGGAAGCTTGACAAACGCAGGAAAACCATGGAACACCGTTCAGTGCACAACTGTGCCTGAGGTCACCAAGCGCGCGCGACATTGCCAAACCACCCATCCCTGCGTGCCCGGCATATTGCTAGCCAAAAATACAACCCGAATATAGCTGCACAATCGTCGCGCCTTGCTTGTCCATGACCCTTTCGGGGCCTGCTACCAAACCACACACCATGCACAAGTCCAAAGCCCCACGCAAAGTATGCACAAACTATGCAAGCCTGCCCTGATCCATCTCACACCACCTCGCTGCACCACCGGAATGGCCATTTGATCAACCTGAATGCAGTGGTTGCATGGCCATTCAGCTAGTCACTAGTCGCTTGGTCGGCCAGGGTACTTTCAAAGCTCGGAACCCTTTGGCGGCTCGGCGGCTCTGTCAGATTCACTGTGTGTAGGTGTACCAGTAGCAGGGGGAGCGCGTACAGTAAGAGGAGCACGCGAGAGCAGAGGGACTCCGCAGTGGTCTAAGGCCGAAGCGATGGCCATCCGTTTGAGTGGCCTCTGAGGCCAAAGATTAGTTTGAGCTTGGCAGCTAGACCCTGCAGGCCGTCAAGAAGGTGCCAGACAGGTTGAACTTGGGGTGCGGGAGGCTGTTGCAGTGGATTCAGCCTGCTTGGAGATTAGATATTGCCATCAGAAAGGACGTTCCTCTTTGTCGCTCCTGCATTGCGCACTGATGCGGCGTCTCACTCTTTCTTTGTACCTAATTCACCTCATTCGCTCTACTCTAGCGATGCGAGGCCTGACCTCAACGCACGCCCCAAGAGTCAAAAAATAGGGTCAGTTGTTCCCAGGTTCTACGAGGTAGTTAGGTGTAGGAGAGAGGCGCCGTGCCCCTGGCGCCGACGCCACGTCCGACCCACAAAACCCCCGCGTTTTACGGTGTTTTTTGCATATCAATGTTTTCGAACTTTTGCGGATCTTGTAGGTTCAAGATGGGCGAAGATGGCCCAACATAAGCCCGAAAAGGCACTCTAGTGGGGCCAACATCGCCACAAGTTGGGCCAACATAGCGTCAAGATGGACCCACAAAGCTCCAACATGGGCCCACAAAGCCCCTTCAATGTTTTCATTTCAGCAACAACAACGACGACAACAACAACAACAACACTAACGCGACCCTAACCCACGACATCCACCACAACCACAACACCGACCCGCATCACTTTCCCTTCCCCCTCCCCTTTGGTTGGGCCCCTGGCCGGCTGTCGGGAGTAAGCCCTTAAATTACCTTCGGTGACCACCGAAGGGCCTCCGGCCTCCGGCTAGGACACGGGCGCTGCAGGCCGGCGCCCGGATTACCCAATCTAATTCTACACCGAAAGTGAAGCCAGACGGCCTCCGCGTACTTCCAGAGTCACTTCCTCACACCACAAAAATTGTTTCCTACCTTACGCAACCTATAGCTTGCCCCATGTTTTCCCTCTCCTAAGGCTTCCGGACAGCATCCACTTGCTTCCTCAAAGTTTCTCTCTGATGGCAATACAAAGTCTAATCTCCAAGCTGTCCTGCTGCCACCTCACCACGCTGTTGCGACATCTAATTTTACAGCGAGAGTGGTCCCGGACAGCGTCTACAGGCTTTCAGCAAGCGTCTCACGTAGCCAAAAAGAAACATAAGTTTCTAAACATTCATTCAAAAGAATAAGAAAGTGTCTCAAAGATCTCAAAGCATCTCCGAACTAAAAGAAACAACTACAAAGTCTTCCAAGACCACTTCAAGCAATCAAGATGCTATACACAGCATTCACAAACAGAACATACTCCATAGAAATTGTTGATGCTGTGCCCCTTCCAAACACCAAGAAAGGACCCCAGAAGACACCACTCCAAAAGGAAAACACATTAAAATCCTAGAAAAGGTGCATGTGGCGAGCCACTCATTCCTCACACTTGAACTTTCACAAACCTCGCAAAGGCTGGTCGGCGCGGACACGGCCAGGCGTGGGCCCTCCGGGCCCCTGGCCGGATTTAAAGGCTTACGCCTAACAGCCTGGCCGGCCCACTAGGGTCTGTGTTGGGCTGGGTCGAGTGCATGTGCATTTATTGGGGGTGTGCTGGGCCTTAGGTTGGGCCAAGTTGGGCCCATGTGGTCTATGTTGGGCACATCTTGGGCCCATGTTGAGCCTATGTTGCTATTATTGGGCCTATGTTGGCCTGTGTTGGCCCTATGTTGAGCCATCTTGGAGGCTATGTTGGGCATATGTTGGGGATATGTTGGCTATCTTGGGCCTATGTTGAGGACATGTTAGGCAATTTAAATCGTCTGGAAGGCCTCTACCCACAAAATGTCGATTATGCTTGTCCGCCCGGCGCGCATTACCGACACCACCCTTGAAAAACACTGCGTTTTTGCATTTCTCCCTCTTCCCCGCGTCGCACTTCGATATGCGCAATAAGCCCTGGTAAAACACAGTGTTTTTATACCTCACACACACGAAACGTTGTAAATTACGGGGCGTCAGTGACGAGGGGGTCCGCCCGTTTTGGGCCCGAGGGTCGGCGGCAGGGGGCGCGAGCGTATATCCGGCCAGGGGCCCGGGAGGCCCCAAGGCCGTGTCCTTGCCGTAGGCCATCTCTCCTCTCCGTAGGAGAGAGGGGAGTCCCACCCCTGCCGCCGACCTCCGTGCGGACCATCTGAAGCTACCGCGTTTTACAGTGTTTTTGTCTTGTCCAATTTTTCGCAATTTTTCGGCTCTTGCGGCGCAAGATGAGTCAACACGGCCCAACATGGCCTAAATAATGCTGGAAATGCGTGCCGCACCGGGGTGCTTCGTCTGCATCATGGGCGGCTGCTGGGCTAACAACAACAACAACAACAACAAGAACAAGCACAACTACAACAACAACCACAACAACAACCACAACCACAACAACAACCACAACAACAACAACAACAACAACCACAACAACAACAACCACAACAACAAGAACAACCACAACAACAACAACAACAACAACAACAACCACAACCACAACAACAACAACAACAACAACAACAAGCACAAGCACAAGCACAAGCACAAGCACAAGCACGGCCACCAACAAGAACAACAACAACAACAACAACACCAACAACAACAACAACAACGACAACAACAACAACGCCCCCGTGCCCTTTTTCCCTGCCCCCTCCCCTTTGCTTGGGCCCCTGGCCGGCCATCGGGCGTAAGCCCTTAAATAACCTTCGGTTACCCCCGAAGGCCCTCCGACGTCCGGTCGACCTTCCCCGGTCAACGTGCGCATGGGATGACGTAACATGGGCCAACATGTGGCAACATGGAGATGATGGGTGCGAGGTCGTTTTGGAAGGCCAGTGGTGCGAGCATTTTGTTATTTTGCTGGGTCTCTGGGTGTATTTCTGCCACAGGAGGAGAAAGAGCACGGATTGGACCTGTCCGAAAACTATGTCTTTTAATGTCTTTTACGGTGTTTTCGGGGTTGCGGAGAGAAGTGTGGGTAAAACCCATGGTTACCCATAGCACTTACCCTCTTTGGCCGGCGCCTGGCTGTCAGGCGTAAGCCTTTAAATAGCGTGGTGAAGCCTGGGGAAAAAGGTACATAGGGGGATCAAGCTTGGGTGAGCGTGGTGAAGCCTCGGGAGAAGGTGCGTTGGGGGGGATCAAGAGCGGGTCAAGAATGGATCTAAAGGAAGAATGGATCTAAAGATTGTCGAGAAAAGCTTGGACACGGGCTTTAGCCGCAATTTTTGGTGTGAAATTTACGGTTGAGATTGGATTGAAAGTTTGTACCGAGCCTTGCGGGAAGGAACTCATGACCGGGACTCAGGAAAGGTGACGTAAGGTAGGAAACTGACTTTATATTGCCGTCAGAAAGCGACGTTTGGAAGTGTGCCTCCCATTTTGGTGTGGAATTAGATTGAATAATAGCTTTGCGATGCATCGTAGACTGAAAGATTGCAAGGGATCTTGGACACCGTTTGTTGCTAAAAAAGAACTCCTTTCAGAAGGACAGTTTGGCGCTGACCGACCAGCTTCGCAGGCTTTTTCATGGGAGAAATAATTTATGGGAGAAAGATAATTATAGACTTGCTACTGCCGTCAGAAAGCGACATTTGGCGCTGAGTGAGCAGCCTCGGAGACCAGCCAAACGCCAAAGAGCGGTGGGGTTGTAGACTTGTAGACGTCTGATGAGGTGCGTGAGACAGGTCTCAGCTTGGAGCCAAATGCAGAAGAGTGGTCGGGCTGTAGACTTCTTTTTGGTGGGAGAAAGCGACATTGGAAAACCTCAATGCAGCCCGCTACCGTTGAGCCATTGCCGGCATTGTCACGCCTTCTTGGTGGACGCTACACCCGACCCCGCTTGTGCGGAATAAGCCTAGCTTGCTACCCCCACTGCGCCCCTGCCGCCGACCCTGATTATGCGGTGCTTCTTGGAGCAGCTGAAAACGCTGGTATTTATGGTGTTTTCGGCAGACGCCTCTTCAAGAACAACGGTCTTTATGCAGTTTTGGCAGCATTGCCACCAACTTTGTGTTTCAAGTGGCAAATAGGAACGTATTGCATTTCACCGTGTTTGGTGTTATTTTTTTGCATGTCATGAGTCATACCCGGTGCTTTGCATTTCGACATCGCACAAATGCATGCAAAATTTGTAGAACTATATAGGAGTTGTCGTCACATTGTCTTACCCCGCTACTCGGCTCAAGCGGTGGGGGAGCGCAAACGCAAGCGCACGCTGACTGTATTGTTTCAACAGGAGTTGCACAAGTCTAGACCCCCACGCTTGAACCATCCTTCCCGCAGTCATCTGTGTGCGAAGCCTGTCAATAGTGCTTATGTTATATTATTTTGTGAGCTTCATGGGCAGCAATTGAAGCCTAGCTGGTTTCTCATGGAACTCCGAATGGCACCTTGGCTTTGGCCTGAGTTTCTGAATGCTTGCAATTTGTACTTTGCCACGGCCCTATGCCCGGTCTGGTCTGGTGTGGCGCTCTGCCATCTCTGCCCTACAGGTTCCACAGGAAGGTGCCGCAATGTGTACCGTATAGTAACACAGTTAATCCAAGTCCGCACATCAACTGCAACACAGGGTGTGGGTGTGGGACTTTGCGGAATCGCACAGCTTGCATGCCGGCAGCCCAGCTTGCAAAAATGATTCTCTTCTGAACTTCAGCTTTCTAGCCATGCATGTCCTGAATACACAATGCATGAATGTGTTGGACGGTTGATTGGGCAAGTTACAAGTTATCCAAACGGCCTGATTCAGTCAATCATTGTCGCACCAACGGATTTCTAATTGCAACCTAGCCACTGTGCCACCTGCCGCGATTATTCTCTGGCGTTCATCAGGACGAGCTGGCTTCCTCTCTGTCAGTGTTTTCAGTGAGCTGGAGTGACAGCCACTTACAAATGAGATTATCTCACTTGCCACGGCTGAGGAGCATGCTGGTCAATTGAAAGCTCTACCGCAGACACAGTCTGACGAGCAGGCGTGCTACACCGTCCCAGAACAGCCCTTGAGTCACCAACCTCAATGTGAAGCGTCTTCAGAAGCACAAACATATGTGAAACACTGAAGGGACTTCCTTTCTTCTAATTCCTTAATCATGACCCAATGCAAATGCAATGTTCAAAAGGCAAGCGAACAAACCCCGAGGTTCTGAGGCTTGGCAAATTCGACGCGAAACGGGATCTGAGAATGCTACGTTGGCAACTACCAAGCGGTTGCGGTGCCTGCTGTTTGTGTCGCACTCTGCGAGACTCTTCAGGACTCTTCCGCTCTGAGCTTTTTCTTGGCTCCACACTGATAAGCTGTGATGGCTGTCGTGCCAGACAGTTCAGCGTGGTGGCGGTGTTCCTTCTCGATTTTCTCCTCAAGCGGACGTCAAACCACACAGTTGCACAGCCAGCTGGGCTGCAAGCCAAGAAGGCCCATACGGCCCCACTCCTGTGTGTCACGAAATGCGGCCTGCAGAGTTTGCGCGCACAGGGCTGTGAAGAGGTGTGGATGCACTTCTGGCTTCTTCTTCCCGCATTGCTATGTTATGCGTTGCATCATTTGTATTCGACGTCTCCAGCCTGGATGGCGTCGACCGGCTCCGTGTGAATGTCAATGTTGCTGAACAAGCTCTTGCTCAAAGCCTACCAGCGTGTTTCAAGAAAGACCGCAAGAAAGACCGCATCAAACCATCTAGCGACTAGCCGTGTCTTTGCACTTTCAACCTCTCAGGGCTGGACTTGCTTGGCGAAGTGGGACATTGTTTTGCCATGGTTTCCGTGGCCATCAAAAACCTTGGCCATTTCAGATCACTCAAGTCATCAAACGCGACCCACAACATACGGATTGCCTCAACTCGGCCAAGGGCAACTTTAACTTGCTGTGGACTGAGGTGATGACGCCAACGAAACATTTTGTTCCGCTTTCGCTGCACGAGGTGCAAAACGCGTCCTGAGAAGAAATGCCGTCATTACACAGATCAAATATATATATATATACATATACGACATACAATAACACACGCACACACACACACACGCACATATATATGTAACATCCCCAATCAAAACAATGCCATCCCTGCGCTTGTGGGGGAGTACGCGCTGAGATACATGCAAGGATGCACGAAATGGCTTTGAGTGTCCTTTCCCCCCCATCATAGCTATAGCGGCTGCTTTTATTGCTTACCAGTGTTGAGCGGTACGGAGCTCCTTCTACTGCGGTAGGCTTTACAAAGCGGGCCGTCTTCTGGTTCAGGAACAATATGGGCGAGAGCCATAGGATAGGAACGAAGAGCCAATGTATTGGTCAAGCATGGTCAAGCAACCTAGCAGTTTGGACAGGGTTGCGCGAATATGCGCGAATGAAATTTCTTCAACTCTGATTTGGGCTTGAGCTTCGAAATGAGCTGCAAAGCTTGTTCGAAGACTTTCGCAGGTGTCGGTCTCGCGCTCCCATCTGGTAGCACCAGGGTTTGTGACATAGCATGCGCATGTACTCACTGGGGTTTAAGGCGCAAAATGAGCTTTTCGCACAAAACGTGCAGTAGAAGGGGTGCAAACACACATAAACATCCCATGAACGAAAAAAACATTACGAAACAACAACTCTAATGACCAAAGACTTTTGCAGGTTATGCATAGAATCCGCGCAGGGAGGTCTGCAAAGGAGTCCAGGAGCATGTGCGGTAAGAGTCGAGCTTGCGATTTAAAGTTATTTAAAGGCACAGCCGCCAACTGTAGCTTGCTGTTTGGCGTGTCGAGGGGCCCATGGAAGTGGGCTAAAGGATTGGGTTTCAACTTGGAGGAGAAAAGGCATCGAGGAAGAACCATAGGAGACACGCCGCTTGATATCATCAACGTAGGGAAGGAGCCAAGGTGAAAACAAGGGGCTGTGTCCTTTGCCATGCTGGGTGTGGATGACCTTGCCAATAGCATAGTCGATGGGGCTAATGAACCTGCAAAGCCACTGCCTCCTTGTGGTGCACTTGCCAAAGTGCAAATGTCCACGTGAGGCCAAGGAAAGAGGACCTGTTGGCGACTTGGAGAAGGCATTCGGCTTCAGTGGGGTACGCGGACGAGACTTGCAAGAAAGCCTGCTGGACTAGCATGTCTTGGATATCAAAGGCTCAGGTTGGTGAATACAGGATCGCGGCCAGAAGCCGCTGAATCGTAACAAAGAGGTTGCTTACATCAAAGGTGGCGAGAGACACAAAAATAGAATTAGGTAAACAATCACAAAGCGGATGTTGGGATCGCTGATGGGGTAGTGACGGATGGACAACTGAAAGCTGCGGGGGTCTCTTTGCACAGCGTGTGTCTATCATTGTTCATCCCGCCCATGCATGGTTAATCACACTCGCGTAGGTCGACAAATGGTGGACCACGCAACAAAAACGCCTCAAGAACAAAGCACAGATGTATGATATGGATACACATGGTGTATATTCCAAACTGATTCAGTCTGTCCGTCTGTCCTGATTTTCGTCGCCCTTTCCGAAATTTGCAACACTCCATGCTCCAACTAAAGCCTTTGGACCAGAAACTTCTCCTGGACAGCTTTGTGCAAAACACTCCACACTAATCCAGCCAATGGACACTCATACAAACATGTGTCCCGCTCCTCTTGCCCGCAAAGCAGACGGAGTTGCAGGTGGGCATGGCGCCGGGCCTTGAAGAATACTGCAACACTCGCAACACTGCGGCTACTCGACTTGACAGAAGCAGTTGCGATTAAAAAACAAAGAACAAACCGCACGGCCCCCATGTCAGCGGACTGGTATTTTCTACGAACTTAACAATGCAATGGACACGCTTGTGGGGGCAGGCCAAAAGAGTTTCTTACAGTCAACCTGCTTGCGGGCCACATGCAGTCACCAGCCTAGCTGGCCAGAGTTGAAAGGAAATCTGGTGTCGGAGCCTGAGCCTGAATTGTCAAGAGAAACCATCAATAGACGTGTTAGAATTTATTTTCTTACACCCGCCATGTTCTGCAAGTTTTCACCACCTTCCGAAATATAGTTCCATTTTTGGAACTATATTTTTGTTCACCTTGTATTTTCTGCGAGTTTTCACTACTGTCCAAATTTTGTACTTTTCTTTGGAACTTTAGTTTTTTTTTTTCCTTGCGCCTGTTTACCAACTTACATCACTGTCAAAATTTGTGTAGGTTGGAATTGTATGGCTTTGAAATTCAATTACTTTAACCGAATAAAATCCAACACATTTGAATGATCAGCAGAATGCACCGAAAACGTCTAATTGCGTTGTTTGCGAGAGTTGGTCTGGTCACCTTCCGAATTTTAGTTTGGTTGATACAGTATGTATGATACAGTATATTTATAGCCTTGCATTTTCCACGAGTGTTCATCATTTCCCTAAAAATTTATTCCGGCAGAGACCCCACACAATGTGTGTGAGGCCTAAAGGTGTAGCAGCAGAACGTCTAGAGATCTAGATGAATTGGGGTCCAGAGGTGAAGGTGGAGATCGTGGTGATTGTGGTGGAGAGAGCGAGAGCGCGAGAGAGAGAGAGAGAGAGAGAGTGTGTGTGTGTGAGAGTTTCACAACCCGTAGACAATGGCTCAAGGCGTAAGGCTCAAGGCTTGTCCTAGGCGGCTCAAGCTGGTTTGGCCGTCTTTGCGGTTTTCGACGGCATTGGACCTTTGTGACTGCTGAGCTCTAGGTCCATCCCTACCCGGCTGGTGACTTTGCCCTTGCTCATAATACGAGGTTGAAGAGCGCGCAACAGAGTTTGCTCAGAGGAGACGATGGACTGGGGAGGCTACATCCAAGGCTACCAGAAGGTCAGAAGCCGCAGATCTTATGTAGCCTGTGCAGGTTGCAGCTCCTCATGGATATGGGCGGATAGAGTCAGCAACAGCAGATGGGGATGCAACAAATGTGGAACACCCTGGCCAGCCATGGAAGCATGGAAGGGGAGCCCGTCACCTACAAGGAAGGTGAAGAAACCCAGAGGCCGGGACAAAGCAAGAGTCGAACCCCCACCAGGACTTGGGAACAAGCAGAAACAAGAAGGACAAGCACTATAGAAGCAACCCTGAGGAAGGCACGGGGACTATGCCGGTTGCCACCCAGGAAGCCCTGAAAGGGGTTGGCATTGACTTCACTCCGGAACCGGAGATGTCCCCACTGGAGGAGGTGTTGAAGGCCCACTTGCATTCTTTGCCCAAAGAAGTCAAAGATGCGGTGGTAGGCCTTATCAAGCCTCAGCCAGCAGCTCATGTGGATGTGACTGGGCAGCTTAAGGCTACGGTTGGGGAGCTACGCCAGCTGGCCACAAAGAAGCAGTCCCTTCAGCGGCGAGTGGATCAGGACAAAGATCAATACAAAGTGTTGCTGGAAGAACACAAAAAAGTTCAGGAAGCAATTGACAAAGAGCACAAGCAGCTTGGAGATCAATCTGCGGCCTATGCCAAGCAGTTGAAGGAGGAAGCAGTGCCTTTGAGTCCAGCGCATGAGCATGTTTTGGATGCTGATGCCACCGAGCATGTCCTGAAAGCTTTGGGACCTGGAAAGGAACTTGGCTGAAACACTGGCCAAGCGCCGAAAGACAGATGGTGATGCCCAGTTGAGTGGGTAACAGAAGCCGGACTTTTTCTGGTGGAAAAGGGGATGAGTTTAACTGTTTTCCTGCAGTGAAGGGGTCCTGGAGGAAGACAGCAGATGAGTGGGGTTTTTCAAACGCTTGGGATTGTTTGAATGTTTGGCGCATAGATATGTCACCTCACCTTGCTTGGGGACAGAAGCAGCGTGCAGCTGATGGGGGACAAATCTTGGTTGGAGAAGCAGGCCAGGAAGAGGGAGGGGCACCGACCTTGGGGAGCACAGAGCGGCTAGGGAGACCTAGACCTGCTGATCTCGAGACCCTGACCTCTTTCCCACCGGCCGAAAGAACCACAAAGATGCCTCAAGGAGAAGAGGTGTGTGCCTTCTTGGGTGGAGGCAAGCAAGAGGATGATGAATACTACATCTTGGATGATGATGACAAAGCCAATGCTGGCATCACTACCCCTGGGCACCTGCAGGATAGACTTCTCACTTTGCAAGCCAGAGCTCTGGATGCAATCAAAGCCTTGGTGGCACACTGCAGGGAGGACCAGGGCTATGGAATGGTGGAAACTCGTGTTTGGGGGCTAGAGGCCTCAAAGCACATCCTACGAATGCGATTGGCCCTTCAAGGGAGCATTCAGCTCACAAGGCCGGTTTCTCAGGTGACTGACATGCCACCTAACAATGAACTACTTGCGGCCAACCTTACATTGGTCATCCGCAATAGAGGAAATCGGTGCTTTGCAAACTCAGTTCTCCGGCTTTGGTGTTGGATGGGTGCACACCATGAAAACCTAGCTGAGTTTTGGGGAGCATCCACAAAGTTGTGCCTACAGCTGCTACAGCAGGATGACATACAGGACATTTTCTGGGCCTCTGAAATCCAGCCAGTCATTGCTAAGCTGGAAAACCCACAAGCGCAACATGACGCATCGGAGTTCCTGGTCCACCTGTGGGAATTCTGGAATCAGACTGGGCTACAAGGGGATTGGCACTCCCATTTTGGGGGACGATGGCATGACTTTGATACTCTGCCACTCTTTGTAGGAGTGACTTTGGAGCAACTGTTGGCTGATTGGGCTAATGAAGCCAATGGGCAATGTTTGGGAGCTGATGTGCAGCACATTGTTTTCCACATTGGCAGGTACTACCACTGCTCCAAGGCCAAGGCATGGGTCAAGCATCATCACAAGCTTCAAATTCCCTCCACGTTTCAATGTGCACAACGTTCGTCCACTGGACATGGAGGAAAAGGTACTTTTGTCTTGAGAGGAGTGATAGCGCATCAAGGGGAATCACTCTCATCTGGGCACTACGTGTCCTTGCTGGTTGAAGGTGATGCACTTTGGTCAGTTGACGATGATCAATGTCCTCAAGCGCAGAAGCACATCCCGGAGGTTTTTCAGACAGGAGCAGTCATGATCTGGGCCTCACGAGCAGAGCATTCCCATTTTTGGACGAGGACCATTGGCAGTTTTGAGCCTCCAGCCAAAAGGCCACGCCTGACTGGGGAAGGTGTTGAGATATTCTATAGCAATGTCACACAATGGAACAATGCTGCCAAAGAATGGGTTTTGCAGAAGGAGCATCAAGTGGTAATGATGGTCGAGACGCATCTTCATGGCCATAAGCTGGAACAAGCAAAGGCAGCACTTTGCCGGAGCAGGTGGCAGCCAGCAACCCTGCCGGCATGGGAGACGGGTCGAGGCGGAAACAGTGGAGGACACCTTTTCTGTTGTAGGGAGGGACAGTCATCCTATCGTCTCCATCACTATGACCTGGAAGGAAATGGATTTCTGGCCAATGTTTTGCAGCGACAACACTGGGAGTTGGTGCTGGTCTCTATCTACCTCAAATGTGGGGAGGACCTCAACTCCTATGCAAATTCAAACGTTCTTGGGCAACTGGCAGCTTTCCTCACAGAACTTGCAGTGCCCTGGATTGTCATTGGAGACTTTCAAGTACCGCCTGAGCAGTGGGAAGGGCACAATTTGCTGAATGTCCTCAAGGCTGAAGTTGTCAGTTGTGGTCAGGCCACGGTGACCTCTGGAGGGGAACTAGATTATGTTCTTGCAAGCTGCAAAGTGGCGCCCTTTTTAGAGTTGCAAGTCAGCTGGGATGTCCCCTGGAAACCGCATGCTGGCTTGATGTTGAAGGTCAACAAAGCAGCTCCACGGCTTATCCTACAGCAGCTCACCCAATTTGCGGCTGTACCACGCCTGGAAGAAGCTTCCCGCTCTTGGGATGAGTTTGAGCCCAAGCCCAATTGTTCTGGCTGGGCAAGCAAGGGGGCCCCAAGGAGATTTAGTATGCTGAATGGTGCCATCAAGCCGAGCAATATGCCCTGCAAAACTTGCATGAGCCCAAACAAGGACGAGGCTGGTATCTTGCGCTTGAGCTGAAGCCGCTGCCAGCAACTAGACCGTTGACCCCATGGAAGAAGGGAGATCTTGCATACTGGGGCCAGTTTTGCTCCATCCTTGCCCACGGTGCTCTGAGTTCGGCCACCCTGCTTCATCTGAGGGCAAATGCTGCTGACCTCGACAAAAGGTGGCAAGAAGTGCACGGCAAAGAAGCGTTTATGGCAGCTCTGGATGAATGGGGATAGCAGACCCCTCACCCTACTGATCACAGGAGCTGAGGCCAACAAGGAATTTGCCAAAAAGCAAGCTCTCGAGCTACAGTCCAAGTCTGGCTGGCACAAGCGGCTCTAAAAGGGCACAGCGGCATTTACAAGAGCCTCAAGGCACCAAACGCCATTCATGTTCGGCCCTTTCGAAATGTCCCTGTTCAAGACAGGCAGAAACTACGGGAGCAACAGTGGTATGGGCAGTGGGGGGTCATTGACAAACCTCTGGCAAGTGGAGAAAGGGAGAGATTTCGTTGGGAAGCAGTTCAGCAAGCAAGGAGGTGGGAAGACCTGGATCCGCATTTGGTGATGAGGAAATTCCAGAAGCTGCCGCAAAAAGCATGTGGCCCTGATGGCATCAGTTACGCCCTCCTCAAGAACCTCCCCATCGAAGGAGTGACTGACCTATGCAGCATGTACCGCAGCTGGGAATTGTCAGGGAGGCTGCCGGAGCAAGTTTGCACCACTCTA